CGTGCTGCTCACCGTATCCTGCGTCTTGTAGTAAGTCAATGGATTGTTGTCCGTGACCCATGTGAACCTACGACGCCCAAGGAGGAAGTGCCACCGTCGCTTGAGTGCCATGACGAATGCGAGCAGCTCCTTCTTCCTTGCATCATCAAGCGAGTTGATGGGAGGCACTTTGTGGCTGAAATACTCCACAGGGTGCCAGTCATCGCCGTCGTGCTATTCCAAGACTGCCCCAATGCCATAGTCGGAAGCGTCCGTAGTCACTCGCGTCGGTAGGGTGGGGTCATAGATGCTAAGGATGGGTGCCATGAGCATAGCCGTCTTAAGTGCTTGGAATGACCGGCGTGCGGCATCATTGAATATGAATGGCACCTCATCATAGGTGCAGCATAGGTGCAGCAATCCTGGAGTATCCGGTGATGAATCGTTGATAGTAGCCCACCAATCCCATGAATGAACGAACGTCCGTGGTGTTGGTGGGCTCGGGCCATACTCGTAGGGCCTCGATCTTGTCCGCAAGCGGACGGATGCCTTGCGGCGTCACATAGTGTCCCAAGTATTCCAGCTCCTGCTGTGCGAACTCGCACTTGTCGCGGTTTGCTTTGTACTTGGCTTGTCGTAGCCGCTCCAAAACGGTGCGCAGGTGTTCCACATGCTCTTCCAAACTCCGACTATACACCAAGATGTCGTCGAAGTAGATGAGTACAAACCGATACAGCATGTGTCGGAACTTCGTTGTCATAGCCGCTTGGAAGGTGGCTGGGGCATTCGTAAGGCCAAACGGCATGACCAGCCATTCGAAATGCCCATACCGTGTCTTAAACGCGGTCTTGTAGCGATCCTCCTTGCGAATCTCGAGTTGGTGGTACCCTGACTTCAGATCCAGCTTAGAGAAGAACTGGGCACCGCCCAATCGCTCGAGAAGGTCGTCGATGCGTGGGAGAGGGCCAGCGTTCCTGATCGTCTGCCCGTTGAGCTTGCAATAATCGATGCACAACCGCAGGTCCTTGTTCTTCTTCCGGACGAAGAGGACAGGAGCACCGTATGGCGATGAGCTAGGCCGAATCCAACCTTTCTCTATAAGATCGTCGAGTTGTGCACGGAGCACACTTAACTCTTCCTCGCTCATTCGGTAGATGCAGCCGCGCGGAGGTACGGCCCCGTCCTCGAGGATGATCTCGTGGCGGATGGGCCGATCCGGTATTACTCCGTGCGGGCCTTCGAACACGTCGCTGTAAGCGTCGAGAAGCTCAGTGATGCGTGGATCCGAAGATGAGTCCGTCGATGAAGCGTCTCGGGGCGGGAGGGCGTGGAGAAAACATACCCCCATCTCCTCGATATCGTCTCTGATGATGGATGCTCGCATGCTTGCGGCGGATACCACGTGGCAGTTGATAGAAGGATGAGGAAGAGGCACTGTGCATGGAACTAGTACTCCGTTTCGATCACGAATGTGAACGGTGCGGTTGAAGAAGTTCACCGCGTGATCCTCGCTTCGCACCCATGACATGCCCAAGATCATGTCAAATTTGGTGTCCAGAATGTCAAAGGACACTGCCTCACTTGCGTGAGGGGCAAAGTACACGAGGACGGCGTCAATGCGCCGGTCGATTGACTTGTGCGTATGACCGTCTGCCAACGTGACTTGCGTAGGCTGGGACTTCCTCCGGACACGTGGGCCAAGGCCGGCGCGCACCATGAAGTCCTGGCTGATGTTGTTGCCAGATGCTCCGCAATCGATCAAGGCACTGCAGGTCACCTCACCGATCTGAATGCGTATGTATAGCAATGGTGCATCGATGTCGTCGTACCGTTGCGTCTTGAACTCGCGGTCAATCTTCGCCATGAGCACATTGCAATGCGGTTTCGGCAATCGTCCGGTCAAGGGAACGGGCATTCACTGGAAGTCCGTGAACGTCAACGGGTCGAGTTCATCAAGTCTTGACCATGACGTCGAATCCCCGGCGATAGATTGCGGCGAAGSTGCCGAATCGGTTGCCGATGGTGATGAAACTGTGCATGCGGTGGACTGTTGCACGTGGAGCGGCTGGTCCAGCGGTGGAACCAAGTAGACAGCATAGTCCTCGTAAGAGTAACGAGAACTTGCGACATTCGCGTCCTCCCCAGATGTGCAGGAGGCTGCTAGCAAGGCGGCCGAATCTGGCGGAGTGGAAGGTGGAGTCGCCTC